GTGAGTGGGTGAGTGGGTGAGTGGGTGAGTGGGTGAGTGGGTGAGTGAGTGAGTGCGTGAGTGCGTGCGTGCGTGCGTGCGTGCGTGCGTGCGTGCGTGCGTGCGCGCGTGCGTGTGCGCGTGCGTGCGTGCGCGCGTGCGTGCGTGCGCGTGCGTGCGTGCGTGGGTGAGTGAGTGAGTGCGTGGGTGAGTGAGTGAGTGAGTGAGTGTGTGAGTGTGTGAGTGTGTGTGTGTGAGTGTGAGTGTGAGTGTGAGTGTGAGTGTGAGTGCGAGTGAGAGTGAGAGTGAGAGTGAGAGTGAGAGTGAGAGGGAGAGGGAGAGGGAGAGGGAGAGTGAGAGTGGGAGAGTGAGAGTGGGAGAGTGAGAGTGGGAGAGTGAGAGTGGGAGAGTGAGAGTGGGTGAGTGAGAGTGGGAGAGTGAGAGTGGGAGAGTGAGAGTGGGAGAGTGAGAGTGGGTGAGTGAGAGTGGGTGAGTGAGTGAGTGCGTGCGTGCGTGCGTGCGTGCGTGCGTGAGTGAGTGAGTGAGTGAGGGAGGGAGGGAGTGAGTGAGTGAGAGGGAGAGTGAGTGTGAGTGTGAGTGAAGAGTGAAGAGTGAGCGAGAGTGAGAGAGTGAGCATCTGAAAGCACAAAGTGCTGCGCCTGCGCCGCCGAAATCTGCACTTTGAGGTTCACAAAGTATTCGAGGTTCACCAAGTGCTGTGCCTGCCACGCAATTTGCACTTCGAGGTTCACAAAGTGCTGTGGCTGCCACGACATCTGCACTTCGAGGTTCACAAAGCGCTGTGCCTGCCACGAAATCTGCACAAAGTACTGCGCCTGCCATGCAATCTGCACTTCGAGGTTCACAAAGTGCTGTACCTGTTACGAAATCTGCACTTCGAGGTTCACAAAGTGCTGCACCTGCCACGAAATCTGCACATCGAGGCTCACAGAGCGCTGTGCCTGCCACGAAATCTGCAAACGAGCCACATGTCCAAAAGTCACGATTCACTGCACCTGTCACGAAATCTGAGCTCCTCGACGATCACCACCATGTCCAAAGAGCAGCACCTGCCACGAAAACTGCAGCTCGAAGTAAAGCAGCTCCGACCCCTTGCACCTGTCACGAAAAGTCGACTTTGAAGCACCAAAACACGAGGTTTTCCTGGCGCCTGCCACGAAAAGTGACCACCATGTGCGAAAATGCGCACGGCACCACAACGAGAGCGCAGTCGCTAGAAGCACCCGCCGCCGGCCCCCAGATTCTGCGAGCCTGCACAGTCGAAATGCATGTCGACGATTTCGAGAGGCATGAATGTATTGTAAATAGCAACGAATTAGTCGGTCACGCCCGCGCCCTTCAGCGATCTAAGCATCAGCTGCTTCACACCTACCGTAAGAACCCCTAGTCTGTCCACACTGTTTGGGGAATAAACAAACAAACCGACAGGTCACTGAACCAACAAAACAGACCACAGCGCCGAAGTTTCGGTGTCGAAGCGCTTTGCGGTTTTTTCGTCTCCAAGTGCCCCTGACCCTCGCGAATGCAGAGGGGAGGAATACGAGAATAGTCGAAGGCCTCGTCGACGCGACCGAGGGAAATGACAGCGTCCTCCGTTCGTAGCGATGCCCTTTGTTCCTAGTAGCAGTAGCGCTCTTGCTCCTAGTAGTCCTTTGCTCCTAGTAGCGATGCCCTTTGTTACTAGCCTCTTGCTCCTAGTAAGGCCAGGAGCCACTAGTCACTAGTAGCGTCTCTGAAATGAAATGGTCAACAGGTCTCAACAGCTCTCAACAGGTCTCTGTGGTTCTCTTGATGGAGAACAAACCAAGTGAAAATACTAGGTGGAGGTGGTGGCTGGTTTTATCCACACCGAAGTTGATTGACTCTGTCCGTGGAGCCATGCACAAATCTTTGCTGTATATAAGTATATACATTTCAGAGAAAGGTCGGCAGAATGCAGTTGTTCCATGAGACGGAGCACAGTCTGTTCCCAGCACAAATCGCTGAAGATTCACCAGAGTGATAGGCGATGATAGGGATGTATTCCAAGGTTGTATGATTGATGTGTCCATGGCTTTCCATGGTTTGACAACATTACATAGATAGAAAAGAAACACGAGTCGAAACATGAATGTTCGACTTCCAATCTCAGCAGTTCCTCATTACTTGGCTTTATGCGAATGTTGATCTTGATTTGTGCAAATACTGTAACCCTGCAATTGTGCAAAGGAATTCGTAACGTATTCTTGTCATCTTGAGCATATTCGCGCACGCACAAAGAGACACAAATATCGCAGTTCGGCGTCACTCCCCCAACGACATGTAGACCAAAGCACCATCAAACGTCCAGCATCGGTGGAAGCATAAAGTACCTGGGCTGAGCAAACCTAATAGCAATGGCCAACCTATTAGCGATGGCCTCCAAGCGTCCAGTATCGGTGGAAAAAGCGTGATGCTGCCATGTCACCTCTTTTTTAAGAATCTTGTCACCTCTTTCCAACCTGCACTTGGAACTTGTAGTTTCTTCACCTTTCGCAAGGAAACTATTGGGAAAATCACTTATATAACTGCGTGATTCCTACTCAACATTGCTCAACCATTTCAACCTTACAGGCTCCACCCAGACTCTCCGAAAACCATTCCGCACGAGGTGCTGGGGCGGCTGGCGCTGCCAAGTGCCGGGCAGGGCCGCCTGCAAGTGCCGAAGAGAAAAGAGCCCTCAAAAGGGCTGCTTGTGGGATTTCACAAAGGCTTGTTGCAATGCTTCAATTGAAAAAAGAATTGTTAGCATAGTCCCCAGATAGCAAAAATTGTTGGCAGCGCCCTGCAGCGGCACCAGCGCCCAGGCTCCAAAGCGCACACAGGCACCCTATACATAAAGAAAATAGCTCTCACTATATGGAGAAAAGTAACTCAGTCTGACCTCTCCTTGAATCCAAATCTCTTTAAATAGAATTGTTTTTTTCATCCACAACAGAACCAAACAAATTGTCCTGAAATGCCCCCCAGCCAGCACCCTCACCGGCGACAAACCCCACGGATGAAAGAAATGGCGGGCAATTGCACGAAGCTGGAAAACCTGCAGCTGCAGGTGTCCAGCTGTATGTTCGTTCATTTGAGGGCTTGCCATCCGTAGCCAAAATGCTGGGATACAACCGATAGGTCAGTGTCCAATGGATACCCGTCTTTTGGGACATTGGAGTTGGCACATTCTCGCAGACCAACATGGCAGCATCCCTGGGCCGGATAGAACTTGAAGCGAGGGAGAATAAATATGTACTTCTTGGAAGATACATATGCATATAATATATATATTATGTATAATCTCCCCCCATCATCCCCTATCCATGTAAATGACCTAAGCATTCCTAAGCTCTGTTCGCCCCCGATTTGATGCTGTGACCAACATGATGAATGAAAGTCGCTGAGCAGTGAGCATTCTCCTCTTGGCGTTCTGGGGTAAACGCTGCGTGGCTGTTTGCAAGTTGGACAAGGGTTCTTTGTACTAGCCACAAAAGTTCACGATTTGGCAGGCATCGGGGGAATAATCTGTGTTGCGCTTTCCAGGCCGCCTTTTTCTGTGGCAAGGGTGGAGCATAGCCTTTGGACAAAGCGTCCAAAATGTCACCACAAGCGGCAAAAACGGTGGCATGCAGGTGAAACCGCGGTACATCAACATGCTCACATGGGCCCGCGACATAAGCCCAACAGCATAAAGGGCAAATATAGAAACACCCGTTGTTCTCTAACTGAAATATATACTGTAATACCTTCTGAGCACTTGAAAAGGATCAAGAACTCCTATGCATTTTGATAAAAGAGTGACGCTAAAGCCACGTTCTACGCCTTTGGGGCTCATGCCCAGTCTGAGAAGGCCAGCACCAGCGAGTGGGCATTCCTTGAGGCTGGGAGACGAGAAGTTCATCGCTTTGAGCTGCCTTTACAGCCATCGAGCGGTCTAGAGAAAGGCAACGACAAGAAGGGACCCTCGGACCCTAGAAGCAGGACCCGCGAGCGGCAGTTGCCTAGAGGACTTCGTCCTGCGTGGAAGCTGATCGCATGATCAAAGGGCTCTGCGCTCAAGGAAACTCGAATTAAAGCGTCACTAGTCACTGTATAATTTGCACAAGGAGACAATTTTGACAACGCTTTCGTTTTGGAGAACTTAAGCTCCAAGAGCCGCAGCCTTAAACTTCCTTTGCTCAGCATCTGATTCCTATCTTCTATGAGTTTTAAGCGTGCTTCACGGGCCGCAAAGTGCGACATCTACGGTAAAACTCAGACGCCAGTGGCATCTAAAGCAGCGGACCACGTCAAAACCCGCCAAGAGGAATTAAGGAGAATAACAATCAGAAGCTTCTTCGGTACGGTAAGTTGTTCGATGCCCTTTCAACTTTAGCCACTAGACAAAATGCACCGTGTGAGGAATCGTGTCTTCACTGTGTTGCGTATTTGCTCTACCTACAAAGGACCATAGTATACGTCGTAACTGCCTGCATAAAACAAACGAGCCATACAGACGGATCACAACCTTCATCTTCTGGCCACTCAGTTTTTTAGCAAATCCATCCTGGATGGTCAACTAGAATGTAGGTGGCTCTAATGAGGTGGCCCTTTTGCGCTGCTGAAAGTGCGTTCCAAGGTCTAAGGTCTTCCCAGACAGGAAACCTTCTTTGGCTGCCCCCAAAGTGGGCCACAGAGAGACAGCAAACACCGAGGCATCCTCCGATGTCGAAGAATAAAGGCTTGGATCGATCAAAACTCCTAGATCTGATTCGATGATTCGGCAGCCTTTCGAAGTCGGAAATGGGCATGCTAGTGTTTTGCTGCCCCTCTTTTTGTGTGTGTCGGATTACGAAGCCTCTAGATTGCAGTCATGGCAACGCACCTCTAGCAAACATGTCTGCAAGTCCGTTTGATGAAGAAGTTATAACTCTTGTTGCAAAAAGATCTAAAAATGCGGGGCTTGACCCCAGTCGAAAACTCTACATTGCTTGCGATGCGCTGTTAGACTTCTGAACAACGGCTTCGTGGTGCACATGGTGAAGTGCATCTGTTTGATATGTTGCATCCGGGCCCTGACATCTTCTCAGGACAAGCGAAGATCAAACGAAGAGAAGCACTTGACAGCTTTCAAGAAGAGAAGCATGGTTGGACTCTTCTTAGACTATATAAGTTGCTTTGCTTCGCCAATGCTCGGACGCTTCTGCCGGTCAGCAAGTTTGCTGCCAAGCTGTGGCAATAACCGCTCAACAAGCATGCAACGTTCTATAACCAGAGACTTGCGATCTGCAGAGAAATTGTAGCAAAGGACTGATTTCCTGAACAGCCCGGCTAGGTGTCAAACAACTTGACATCTTGCTGACCAATACCATTCCAGAAGCTGCTTGGGGGAAAGCAGCAAGCAGCCTCTCGAATTGGTCCAATAGTGCACTTCTATATTATGTCAAGCTGGAGCTTCAATGTCTCCAGAACGTTCTTCGGCAAAAAATCAAATTGAGCATTCTCAGTGAGTGGAGGTGGCTCTTGCGTCTTGCGGAGGTGGTGGCTCTTTAGGCACCACCGCATCAGGAGCGCCTTCACTGCATTCTGCTGTCCAATGGTCTGACGTCTGACCTTAGGCGAGAAGAAAATGAAATCATGTGGAGAAAGGAAATCCATGGGGAACATGAGCAGGCGCATCATAGGGAATCCGTCCTCACGCAAAGTGTGCTGGGCAAGCGGCTGGGTACTAGCGGTCGTGTACCACGGTCAATGCTAGTCCTGGCGAGAGTCTGAAATCGAATGTCGTCTGATCTCTGAGTGTAGCGATGGCCTAGAGCTGAAAGAAGGCGGGAGCACAGAGAAATCGTCCATGTGAAGAACGCTCACACCCATCTGTGGTGCATGGTCTTCCTGGCACCGCCTCATCCACATCACACCGAAAAGAGGTGATCATGCTGCGTACAGGCGATCTATTCAAAACAAAATGAACTTGTTATTGTTGCGAAAATAATGGTACTACCTAGACTACCTACTACATACATAGTGGCAGCATGTGGCAGCTATATTTTTCAACATTCTTGTTGCGACTAGCAAGGAGCATTTACGTTCCAGACAGCGACCTTTGGTGAGCGTTGGTGTTCCTAGTAGAAAATACTATTCCTATAATGTCATGTTGGCTAGATCTCATTTGTGGCAGAATGTGGCAGAATATGGCTCGGATTTTGCTGCCAAGCCGCTGGTTCAGTCTTCCTAGGCCTCCACACATTCGGCGAACTCCAGAATCCAGAACATTAAGAGCCCTGAAATGCCTGCCTGCCCCACTGGCGCCGACGTGCAATTTGCCGGCCTTAGTTCAAAACAAAAATGTGCAAACGTACTGTCTGCACTACTGTCTGCCTCAATGTGTGCATGCAAATGTGTCACCGGCGAAAAACCTGCCGTCACCAGGACAGTTTCGCTCAGGCACGGGCTTGATTGCGCCTGAAAAAATAAAATACACCACCGTAGACCCCAAACAGCTGGGACAACAACAAAGCATTCCCAAGTCCACTTTTGAGACATCAACAAGAAGGGAGACGAGAAGGGAGACAAAAGGAAACAGAGGGAAACAAGACGGGCACAATGGCCAACAAGAAGGGAGACAAGAAGGGAGACAAAAGGAAACAGAAGGGAGACAAGACGGCGGACGCAGTGGTGCATCGCCAGCGGAAAAGGGCAGACACCAGCAGTGACAGACCTGGGAGACAAATGAATAGAAATGCTACATGGCGGCGCCACCAGTGACAGACCTGGGAGAGAAATGCACATGGCCAACGGAAAAGGGCGGACACCAGCAGTGACAGACCTGGGAGACAAATGAATAGAAACGCTAAGTACATGGACAGACCTGGCAGACACATGAATAGAAAAGGGCGGACACCAGCAGTGACACACCTGGGAGACAAATGAATAGACATGTTGCATGGCCAGCGGAAAAGGGCGGGCGCCAGCAGTGACAGACCCGGGAGACAAATCAATAGAAATGCTACATGGCCAATGGAAAAGGGCGGACACCAGCAGCGACAGACCTGGGAGACAAATGAATAGAGTTTCTACATGGCCAGCGGAAAAGGGCGGACACCAGCAGTGACAGACCTGGGAGACAAATGAATAGAAGTGCTACATGGCCAGCAGAAAAGGGCGGACACCAGCAGTGACACAAAGGGCGGACATATCTTAAGAAAGAATTGAGAACCCCTAACAGTAAACTGGTTGGGGAAAAAGTCCACAGAAGGTTATTTGGTGTCGACAAACCGGATATGTCGAAACGCAGAAAACATTCAAATGTCCGGTGGTTTTCACATACAACGCATGCAACATGCCTGAGCCTTGCTCGCAAAGTTGGTGCGACAATCTCCACCCTCACCTGCACTGCAGCGTAGCTTGGGTTTAGCGGCTTTGCCGAAGTGAAACCACTGTCGGCTTGTCAGTTTCGATGCGCAAAGCTCACCATGGCCGCTCACAGCACAAAAGGGCCTTCTCCATGAAAATCCAACTTGTTCATGCGGACTTGCTGGATGTGTTTCAGGCCCTGCAAGCTTCACTTCTGAAGGAGCCAAAAAGGCTGTGACATGAGTGTGATAAACTTCACTGTGCAGAGTTCTGTACAAATCTCTCGAGGAGATGTCTGCTTGTGTGACATCACCAGACAGCAGTCAAGCTCCTCCAAGCGACGGCGTGCTCTTGTGCGCAAGGAGTCCAATTCTTCACGAGCCTGGCTTTGACACACTGACAAGTTCAGTTTCAATCAAATATAGCGATCGAGCAAAATCCCCTTTAACATGTCTTGGATATTGTTTCTATCTACTTGGGGACCTCTATTCTCCAACTTTGCCAGCGTGTGCCCTATGAATAAGACCATCTTTCTGTCACCAAGCCGGGCCGAAATATGGCACAGCACCTCCTTTGAGCTGTCATCGTAAAGTTCCAGCGCACGGCCCAAACGGAATGGACCCAGCTTACATCGCCTCAGAAGCTCAAAACGTGCTTCCAAGATGTTCCAAATACTGTGTTTTAAGGAGCAGTGAGGGATAGGTACATTCCTGGTGAGCGTGG